GGTACAGGTCACTGCTGTATTTTGCTAAAATGCCTCGATATATTTGACATAATTTTCAGTACGTTTGAAAAGTTTAACCAGTTTTTCTTACTTGTTTTACTTTGCTAGTTTTTAATCTGGTTTTTGAGGGTCTAAGCTTATCCTGTACACACAAATTTTTTTAAGCAAAGCTTTTTAGCCCTTAACTCACCCAGTGTTTTTCTCAAAACATTGATTTGATGTGACGTAAGGCGTGTTAGTCCAGCGTGAGTTCTTGTCCTCTCCCCGTTAACTAACGGTATGACTGTTGTAATACTGTGTCTTAAGTAGTTCAGTGTGATTTTGAGATACACAAACTAGTATACCCTTAATTATTGATGAAATAAAAAAAATCTCTTAGCTTGTCTCTGCAGTGGAGAAGAGCTGTGAGTCTGAGGTATGAGTTCTGTTATGTTTTCACCCTCGTGTGCTGTCTGCCGTGGGTGTTCCCAGAGCGGGCCAGGCGCTGGGCAGGTGGGCTCCTTGGGTCCTGCTGGCGGCAGAGACGCAAGGAGGCTGTAGCGCTGAACACAGACCAGGATCCAGTCTAGGGTGAGGGGGTAACTTCCCATAGAAACCACCCAGGAAGTGTGGGACTGGATGGCGGGGCCTCCCACTCTGCTGGTAGGGGGCAGGGTGCTGACCTTACGGGGAGGAGAAGGGGAAACTCTGGCAACACCCTCTCCCCGAGGAAAGGTCTGAGTTAAGGTGTGCTGCTGAAACTCCTCTTCTCATTAACAGAGGTGTATTGCTCACCAGTCAGTCCTTCCAGTGCTTCCGAAATGCTCCGACTGCAGGCTCCCTCCCCAGCCAATCCTGCCTCCTGGGGAGGTCACCCTCACTCCGGGGCTGCCTGCCGACACTTACCCCAGCCTCTTCCTGCGGGCGCCTTTCTGCTGTCCCCCCCTCTGCCTGTGCGTACCTCCCGGGTGATCCGGATGGAGACCCCGCGACCCCTCAGCAGACACGTGTGATGTGTGATAGGCCAGGAGCGAAAAGAAACAGGTCGTACAGCTTAAAAGACTGACTTGGGGGAAGTTGGACATTTTTAATAAACCCTCTGCCATGCGCCAAGATGCGACCTACTGCATTAGGCCTCGGCTGCTCACACCCGCCCGACAGGAACTCCTCAAGCCTCAGCACTGCCTCGGCCGGACGCACTGCCTCGGCGGGACGGGGACTGATGCTGAGGCGGCAGAGGGGAGGGCGAGGCGAATCATGCTCAGAATGGCCATCTGAGGGGCAGGGCGGGCGCTCAGGCCTGGGAGGCTGAGGGAGGAGGCTCAGGGGCCCCCAAGGCTGATGGGAACCAGACGGGAGAAACCCTGGAGCAGGCTGGGCAGCTCAGCTCTGGCTCCTGGGGCGCTAAAGCACAACCTGGAGGGCCAGCTAGGCCCAAACCGGAGGCAGGGGGCAGGCCTGAGGGTGCCTGGCTGACAGGGGGTCTGATGGGGCGTCTCACTTACACTTATTTTTCAAGCTATCATCATTGATTGAACCTTTTCTGTGTGCCAGGCCTCAGGCAAAACATCTTAGGTGCATCCGTTCCGAGCAGGTTTTGGTGTTACATCTGTTTCACAGATTCGGACACTGCAGCGATCACGTGCCCAAGGAACTGCCCGAGGCCACGCGGTAACGAGGAGGGCAGGACAGTCCCGCCTGGGGCAGTGCCAGCTCAGCGCAAGCTCACCTGTGGCAGGTTTACCTGGAGGGTCCCCCCCGCAGGAGCTCTGATTTCTTCGCTGTGGGTGCAGTCAGGATTTATAAAAGCTCCCGTGTTGGCGACGCTGGCCAAGAGCATGGAGAGCTCAGGTGGCCTCTGACACTGGTCCAGAGCACTGGGGTGAAGGGCTCAGCAAGGTTGCTATTTCCCTTCTTAGGATTCATCGACCTTCCGAGCAGCCAGGAGCCCGTGACACCCAGCTTACAAGACGCTGACTGCCCCCTGCTGCTTCCACCTCGCCCTGCCCTCACTCCATGAGGACTGCAAACAGCTGATTTCATTTGTATGATCATCCTTTCAACTCTTGAACCATTTCTCTGTAGCCTCCTGTCCCCCAGACCAACACTGCCAGTCCTCCCACTCACTGTCCCAGCTCGTCCTCCAGGGAACTCTGGGCGAGCGTGTCTTGGTGCCCTCACCCCTGTCCCTCTGAGACTGCGGACATGGCCTGCGTACCTGCTTCTCTGCCCCTGGCCGCTGGGGGCCTGCTGGTCACCCCCCGCCAGGCTGCGGGCTGCAGGCTGACGTGCCTCCCGTGGTGGGCATCTCATCCCTGCGGCCACACCCCGGCAGTGGCAGGCCCTCGGAGTGCCCTCGGACGAGCTCTTTGGGAGTGGTGTCCTTGGGTCCTGGCACACAATCCTATTCCAAAAACAACTTGCTGAATAAATAAATGGAAAACCTTAGCTCTTTAGATAGCATCACAGAATTTAAAATCAGCTGCCTTTGTGCTCACTGGGATTCAAAAAACCTTGGTCTACTGTCCCTGCAGCCAGGATCCTGGTGTCACCACCAGGACCTCCCCCTGTGCCCAGCTTGTCTGTTTGGTGGGGTCAGCAGTGCTGGGTCCCAGGTCCGTGTGGTGGGAAGGCTGGCCGGGCTGGCGGGTTGCCACCCTCACCTCTGACCAACTGCCCTTGGCTAAGCACCCAGCTGGGTGAGAAGCCAAAGGGACAGAGCAGCCTCCATGCAAGGGGTGCCCCAGGGGTGCACACCTCGGTCACCTCACCTTCCTGGCCAGGCCCAGGGCTGGCAGATGACAGTCATGAACCACACCGTCCAGGCGGGAGTGCTGTGCCAGGGGACAGGGCATGCACAGACCCAGATGTGCGCCCCTGGGAGGGGGCACCTGTGCTGGGGAGTCCAAACGCTCTGGGGGCACGCCCTTTACACTGAGACCCCCAGGTGGGAGGGTCTCCCAGTGTGAGGGAGAACCTTGGCAGGAAGCAGGGGATGGAGCAGGGGTGCCAGGGGCTGGATGGTGGGGCCCTGGTGAGCCATGAGAGGATTTGGGTCTTTGAGGATGGGGCACTTTGTTGAATGCTCACCCAGCAGAGATGAGGTGGCAGAGATGGGGGCTGAACTGGGAGCAATGGGGTCAGGGAAGGGGGCCAGGAGGGAGGCTGGGGCAAGAGAAGTAGGCAGAGTGAGTGACCCTGGGAGATGATTTTTGGGGGTGCTGAGGGTGGCACCAGGGGATGGGGGTTCCCAGCAGGAAGGGCTAGTCATGGGGACAGGGTCACAGAAGCAGTGCAAGGATGTAACAGCACAGAAGCCAGGTGTACCCCATGGGCCTGGGGCAGCCAGGTGCCCGGCTTCTAGTTCTTGAACCTAAGGTCTTGTCTCAGCACCTTTTCTCCCCTCAGGTGGGTTAGGGAAGCCCAGGGCACTCTCAGGGGCACTCAGCTCCTGGGTCCATATGCCTTCCTTTCCCTAGGAGGCCCAGGTTCCATCTTCCCAGAAAAAGACGTCTTCTGGCCTTCACTCTAGACCCAGTCACTCAAAAGAAAGGCACATGTCCTAGGATCAATGCGGCTGCTGGCATGGCCTGGTGGTAGGAACTATGCAAGGGTCTGGGGAAGAGTGTGAGGGCTGACCAACAGCTAGTCCAAAGGCCCTGTGGTACAGCAGCTCCTGTGGTTGGAGCCAGGTGAGAGCTCAGGTAAGAGTCTGCAAGGCTGGATCCCCTGGGGCCTTGCTGGCTGTGGGGGAACCATGGTCACATAGCAGGGCAGGATTGCATCCTGGACCAGAGGCTCCCCAGAACAGCCAGGTACAGATGGCCCTCTTGGACTGGGCACTTCATGGGGAGGGCCTCCCAGGCCCAGCCCACAGCAGTGCCACCAAGCTTGGCCCGGTGACATTTGCCATGGATAACTGTCCAGGTGCTGGGCCTGTGCCTGGGCCAGTCTGGGAGTGCGCCCTCAGGGGTCGCCAGATGCGACCCCTAGAGGCTTGTATGAGCCCCCCTGCGTGCGGGACCTGCCACTCCGGGTGGGCAGGGATGACCCAGACAGACCCGCCCCACTGCCCAGCCCTCCGCACAGCTGGGCCGGCACCGTCGCGCACCTGCTCACCGGCTCGCAGGCGGGGCCCTTGACCTTAGAGGTCGGTCTCCTGAGCCCGCGCACCTCCTCTCCGAGCCTCGCCCGCACGGTTTGTTTTCAATGCGGCCGCCAGGGGGCGCTCGTGGCCGGGTCTCGCGGAGCCCAGGACCCTCCCGCGAGGAGGGAGCAGCCGGAAGCGGGCAGGGGCAGACGGCCGCGCAGCTGTCGCGCCTGGGCCACCACCACCGGGCCCACCTGCCCTCGTGATCCTGGACAGGTGGCCGCGGCGCCGCTTGGCTGCGGCTTCTACCCGCGAGCTGTGCGGGTTGCGTGACCCGTCTCCGCGACCACACACCCAGATCGAGGGTCCGCCTGGAGGCCTGTGGATCTCATAGCTTCTGAGTCGCCCCTCAGAGTTGGGGAACCAGGAGGACCGTCTGAGGCCCGGATCGGCGCGCGCGCAGCAGCTCACGTGGCATTACACCAGCAGGGTGGAGCCTCGGTGGCCAGGCAGGCAAGGCAGCCTGCTGTGGGCCCACATCTCTGAGCAGTCTGGTCCCTCCCTCCTGGGTTAACTCAGCTTAGCCTTCACGCCCAAGCAAAGTGCTACTTCCTGCAAATGCCACCTTCCTGCCCCCACCCCACGTGCTGGTCCCATCAGGGCTCTAAGACTCTCTGGCCTTGGACTGACAGCTCCCGGAGCTGGGGGATCCCAGACCCATTCTCTGTTCTCTAGCCCCACTGGGGCTCCTGTGTTTCAGGGTCAAGGGCAGGAAGGCCAAGGAAATTGGTGGAAGCCAAGGAGAAGGAACTGGAAGGTCAGCAGCACATGAGTGAGCCTGTGCCGGGGTCTGCGCCCTGCTGTGGGCTGTGGGGAGGAAGGGCTGGTCCTACAAAGCCTAGGCCTCCCGTGGTGTTCCCGGGGCTCCAGGGGCCGAATCAGGCCCTGTCCTTCTCCAAGCCGCAGTTCCCCCCAGCAGGCCTCCCAGGGCCTGTGTCGGCAGCAACCGGGACAGCTCAGGTGACGGTGCCCTGGGCAAAGGTCTCCTGTCACCGTGTAAGGCAGGCCTCTGTCTCCAGGCTACCCACAGCAGCCTGGTGGGGCAGGGATGGGGACCATGGCACTAGCCCCAGCAACCTAGCCCACCCACCCCAGGGCCTGGCGGGTGGCCCAGGGTGTGGCGGGTGTCCTTACCTCCTTGCCCTCCCAGCCTGGCCCCATAGTGGCACTGTGCCTGTGCCCAAGGCAAGCCTCAGGGCCACTGTCACTTCACTGCCAGGAGCAAGGCCCTCTCCCCTGCCCACACCCCTGATGTTGGGTTGCCTCCTGCCTCGCCCTTCCTCCCCAATGACCCCAGACAGGCCCCCAGCTCCAGCCCACACCACCCCTCCTTGAAGGCCCTCTCCCTCTGCTGCCCCCTACCGTGCCCCTGCCCAGAAAGCTTTCTGAGGCCTCCCAGGACCCACCTCCCCTAATCTGAGCCCAGCTCAGCCCAGCCTTCTCAGAGCCCCCTGAGCACACCTCACACAGCTCTGTGGCTCTGAGAGAGGCTGCGCACCGCCCCGGCGCTAGGCTGGGGGGCTGTGGGGGCCTCAGCGGTAAGTTGCACACAATAGGACCCCCACCAGTAAGCCCTGGCCTCTCTGGCCCTCAGGCCTTTATACTGAAGGGCCAGCATTGCTGAGCCTCAGGGCCTTTCTCAGGGGCCTTGGGAGCTGACAGCCAGTAGCACTTTCCCCAAAGGACAGAAGTGCTCCCTGGGGTCACTGCCCCTGCGGCTGGCAGGTCAGAATGACGCAGGCCCAGCTGTTGGTAAGGAGGCATCTCTCCCACTCCCCTCCTGCCCCTCAGGAGCCAGCATCCGCACAGGCAGGTGGGCATGGGGACCCCTGTGTTGTCAGACCTGGAGGCTAAGGCAGGGGACCACGGGGCCCAGCTGTGACCCTCAAAGTGGGGCTGAGAGCTCTCCCCCAGGAAGTGGCCCAGACCCACCTTGTCCCTCCCCAGGGCATCTCCCCCGGAGACTCATCTCCTGTGCCCTACTCCGCACCGCCCCAGGCTGGGGTCCTTGCCAACGGGGCCACAGGGACCCTGGGGTCAGCTCCACACTGATGCCCAGACTCCACCCTTTGACGTCAGCTGGCAACCCAAGGGAGTTGTGCTGGACCCCTGGGTGCCCAAGGCCCCTCTGCGCCAGAGGCCCAGAGACTGCAGGCGGCCTTGGCCAAGGCAGCTGCCCACCAGGGCCTCCTTGGGCCTCTGTGTGTGAAATGGGCAGTAAAGCCCACTTTGTTGTGGGATCGAGAGAACAGCGAGGCCCAACGGGGCCCGGGGAGGCCAGCCCGTGTGGACTGCTGCTCTGGTCTTGTCTTCTCTTTAGGCAGCAGAGCCCCCTCCCCTCCCAGTCTCCTTCAGCAAGTCTGCAGGACCATGAGGTGAGGCAGCCCCTGGCCGAGGCCTCTGAGGCCCGGCTCTGGGCTTAGCAGCCCTTCGGAGCCCAGGATGGGTCTTGGAGCTGAAGCTCTGCACTGCAGCCCACCTCCTGCTCCTCCTGGGGGTGAGGCAGAGGCTCCTGCAGCTTCAGGGAGGGCCTGGTATGGCTGTGCACGTGTGCTGTGTGCACGCACATGTGTGCTGTGTGATGAGGTGGCACACTCTGCCACGGCCTCCCAGCAGCCTGTAGGTGGGCAAGGGGCCTGGGGGTAGGGGAGGGCCGGGAGACTGCGAGCAGCCCCTGACTATGGATGGGGCCTGGGCAGGGCTGGGGAGGGATGCCTGGCAGCCAGCTCGAGGTGTCCTGGGAACAGGGCCCAGAAGGAAGCCTGCGCAGCGGCAACGGCGGCGCCATGGCAACACGGCACAAAGCACTGGCCTACTTACACCCCGCCTCCGCCCCGCCAGCTCTCCGCTCCAAGGAGGGGGTGCAGGGCTCCTGCGGTCTGCATGTGCCCCAGCCTTTGCGCTCAGTGCCCTGGAAGCCTCGGGCCTCCTCCTGGTCTCCTCCCTAGCCATGATGCTGGGCCAGGGCGGAGGAGACTCAGGTTCCCCATCCATAAATGGGAGTGAAAGAAGGCGGCACAGAAATGCCCCACAGCTAGCGGGTGCTCAGTTGTGTAAGGTCTCTCCCTGTCTCCTGCTGGTAAAAAGGCTTCAGAATTTCCCAGCACAGAAATCTCAGAGCTCTCTGTGCTTCTGTGGTGACTGCAAGCCCGAAAGTCTCCGACCCCAATCAAAGGCCTCAGGCCCAGGCCCCCAAGTCAGGACAGTGTCTGGGTGGGAAGGGCAGCACTGGGGACAGGGCCCTGAACTGGTGCCCTCCACATGTTCAGACATCCTCTCTGCCTCTGTCCTCAGCATGGAGAGGACATGGGTCTCCCATGCCTGCCTCCAGGGCCCAGCATGACATTCAGGGCCAGCTCCGCACCTACTGCCTCTGCCTACAGGAAGTTGGCCTGGCCTGGGGCCTTGGTGCACTCAGAGCCTCGGGGATGGGGGCAAGGGTCTCCAGTGTCGCAGAGGAGACCCGGGGCCTTCAAGGGGCAGCCCGAGGGGCTCTCTGGGTGCCCCGTGCCAGCTGCGCTCTGTCTGTGATGTCCACGTGGCCCTGCCGCCACCGGCCACCCTGGGCTCCCTGGCCCAGCAAGGTCTCACACAGTCGTCTCTGGTGCAGGAGCAGGGCCCTGAAGAGGGAGGGCCATTGGCCAGTAAGGCAGTGAGGACGCTTTGTGCAGCACCCAGGCCCTGGGGACGGGAAGCCCTTGGTCCTACAGCGAGTAGATCACCCAACACCACTTATCTCATTGAAAATCAAGTTTCCCTGGCCTCACCTGGGAGCTGGCCGGGCCGGGCGCCTGCTGCGTGGCCTCAGTCCCCCACAGGGACAGATGTGCAGCCGTAGGTGTCCAGGTGTCTGCTTGGATGGCGTAGCTCCCTGCCCAGCACTGCAGCTCGGGGGCCACTGTGACTGTCTGTCTTGATTCCCTCTCCAGACTGGGAGCCCTGCCCATCACCCGTCCATTCACTCCTTCATCCACCAGATGCTCTTCTGCGTCCCAAGGGCCAGTGCCCAGTGACCATCTGTGGAATGAATGAAGGAGCAGGGGTGAATGAATGAATGAGGCTTGGAGGGGAGCAGCCCCATCCCCCGTGTGTGAATGGGGGTCGGATGTGTCTGCCTGCCTCCAGGCACCAGCTGCAGCTGCCCTCCCCTCCCCTCCCCAGCCCCCACTAATTTATGCCGCAAAGGGGGCCGGCCACTCACTGGTCCCCCACCTGGCAGCAGCTTTGTCCCCAGGCAGATTCCCAACGGCCGCCTTGGGGAAGAAAGGGCCCTTCTCTGGCCGGCGGTGAGGTCACCAGGAGGGCCCCATGCTCACAAAGGCCGTGGCCCCCCAGCTCGCTCTGCCGGCAGCTGCCTCTTTGTCTCCAGCTCAAGGCCTAGGAGAGACCCTGAGGGGCCCCTGCGTGGCTGTGGAGAGGCCCAGGCTGCCTCCCTGGGAAGTGGACAGAAGAGGGGAAGGGACATGAGCAGCCTCCTCCCCTGGCTTTGCTCCTGATACGTGACAGCACCTGTTGAGACGCAGACCCTTCCCCAGATGCCTTGCCGGGCCCGGGCAGCTGTGGGGCCTCAGCCTGGAAGGGGTCTGTATCCAGCTGTCTGTCTGGGTCCCCATGGCGCACAGGCAAGCTTCAGGGATGAGGGCTGCTTGCTATGTGTCAGGTCAGGGCCAGGGAGCTTGGACATGTTCGTGGCCTGCAAGGACTATGCGTTTAGCTGGGACCCCAGCACCACCGTTAGACAGAAGACAGGCCTGGGTGGGGACCTGGGACATCGTCTCTCAGGGCTGTGGGGGGACATTGGGGTTTGGCCACCCTGGCGGAGGTGGCCCTGGGCCTCTGTACGTGGGGACTGGGAGGGCAAAGGCCTGCTGGCCGGACCAGGAGCTCAGTAACCAGCTACTGTGCCCCCTCCCCTGCCCTCCAGCTGACGGCACTGGGCCCAGAGCTCTTTAGCAGTCTCTCCACAGAGGCAGGAAGTGGAGCCTGAAGGGAGCAAAACAAAACCCCTTGTCTGGTTCCAGACAAACAGAGGCCGTGCTGGACACCAAGGCCAGCTGCTAGGGGCCCAGGGCCCGGCCAGGCGTGGCTGCAAACAGAGCCAGCCCCGGGCCAGGCTGGGCCCCAAGTGGGGCCGCCAAGCCTAAGGGCTGGGGATGGTGTGGAACAGAGGACTGGGGTCCCAGGACACTGAGAGAACCCTGCACTTGAGCCCTGGGGGCCTAGCCAGGGAGCATGATCAGAGGAGGCAATGGGCAGGGAAGGCCGGGTCAGCCTGGGTGCCCAGCTAGCGGGCCTGGGCGTCAGAGGCCCTGAGGGGCTGGGCAGCCATGTGCCTTCACGTCCTGGGGGCACAGCAGAGCAGGGGGTGGGGGGGGTGCCTGGTCCTACTGAGAGAAAGTTCTCCTTCCCCGTTGCCTGGCGCCTGGAATGTCCATTGTGTGGGTGGCTTAGCAACAGGCCTCTGTCGCCCCTGCCCCCAAGCCAGCCACCCGCACTCCTCCGCAGGGCCCTCGCCGCCACGGCCTGGCCTTGCTCACCCGAGTGTGTTCAGAGGCTCAGAGGCTCAGATCCTTCGCGTCCGGCCTGTCCAGCGGCCTGGGTGACTGAGCCATGGGCCCGCTGCCAGCCCTGCTGGAAAGAAGCCCGTGTTCAGACCTCACCTCATCCCCAGGTTCACGCCGCAGTTTAGACTCACTTTCTCGGCAAACGTGTTGGTCGTGACAGAAGCAGCCGAGTGGCTGGCTGGGGCGGGCAGGCAGACAGACCAGGAAGGGGCTGGAGGGTCCGGGGCTCCTGGATCCGGACCCTTAAATGGGCCGATCCACCGTCTGTCCATTACACCGCCTTAGGATGGATTCCTGAGCCACTCTCTGGGGGCATGGGATGAGCTCAGGCTTGAGGAGGGTACAGGACAGTGGGGACGGTGTGGAAAGGGGAAGTAGGGTGGTCATTGGGAGCTGGAGAGGCCAGAAGGGGGCTGCCACCTAGACCTGGGGCCACAGCCCCTTGGTGGCAAGAGTGAAGGGACTGGCAGCCCTGGCCCTGACTCCTCTCCAGCCCTCCAATGCTGCGGGCTGCTCCTGAGGCCCATCCTCCGCCATAGCGAAGTGGCTCCTGGGTCTGTGGTCCCCAGGTCCACGCTGCGAGGAGTGAAGAATGGATGGCTAACTGCTGCCCCTGCCGAGGACCAACCACCTGTGTCTCTCACCTGCCCTACAGCACCCCCAATGCTGGAGACTCGGAGAGACACATGGCGGGGGTCAATGTTGCAGAGACTGGTGGTCCTGGGAGGGGGAGCTGGGACAAGTGACCCTGGGGTATGTATCTGCTGGCTTCTCTCAACTGCTAAGGAGCCTGGGGCAATAAATGGTTAAGTGGTCTGGACATTTCTTGTTTAAAAAGCTTTTTTTTTTAATGGAAAATGTCAAAGAAATGCAAAAACAGAGACAATCACAAGGGATTCCAAGTCCCAGGTTTCGCCCCTGCTCCCCCACCCCAGGTTATTTTGAGGCAGGTCACAGCCACCCTACCATTTCACAGTGTCATTAGCGTGCCTAAAAATTTCATTTTTTTTTCTTCCCCATCATTCTTAAACCCATGAAACATCCACTCTGGCTTCAAATGTTCCAATTTTCTCGTCTTGTAAAATAAAACATTTGGTTTGTTCTAGTCAGAACCAAAAGCGGTTCCCTACTGCTCTCACTCTGGGAGACCCGGCCTTTGCCAGATGAAGCCCCTGGGAGACACAGAAACCCCAGGTGGGTCTGAGGACACGGCAGAAACACTCCAAACAAACAGAGGCAAAACTGAACTCTGACTGACAGCAGCACAGCCTCGAAAGAGCAAGGTTGATGGTGCTGGAAGCTTCCATAGCAGGACATGCCACTTAAGTTAATCAAGGTGTTCTGTCTGTTTTAAGAAATAAAGGAGAGGACAGTTTGAGAGACTCCAATTCCTCTGGCAGTGATCGCTGAGCCCTCCACCCCCAGAGTTCCAGATGTAGTAGGTCTGGAGTGGGGCTGGGAATTTGTACTTCCACCCAGGTCCCAGGTGATGCCGGGGAAACTGGTCCAGGGACCGCATCAGGAGAGCCTCAGCTCCACAGACGTTTCATGAACATTTCCGTGGCCAAAGTTTGGGATGGTTCTGCCACCTGAAACGTGAGAGCTGTCCTGTGGGTTTGTAAAGATTAAAAAACCAAAAACAGTGTCTGGCATGCCCATAGTAGAAAGATCTATCTGTCTGGGTAAGAGGTACTTACTATATCATTATGAAGATGAGTTTGGCATCCTGGTGTACCACGTAGTGATAGAATGCCCAGATGTCAACATGAACATAGGCTCTGAGGACGTGTGACATCACCCCCCACTCAGTTCTCTTAAGGCCACTCTAAGGGGAGGAGAGTGAGACATCAGGGAAGTAAATTTGGCTCCGAGTTTCCTGGTGGTTGAGGCAAAAAGGGAACAAAGATTAGCGAAACTACTGCTTCTCAAACTTTCAGGCTGATTGACTCACCCGGGGAATTGGTCTAACACACCTGATTAGGAGTTCTGGGTGGGGCCTGAAAGTCTTAACAAGGCCCACCTGGAGATGTAGGTGCTGCTACCCCTGGATCACATTTTGAGTACTGTTCAGGGCCCCTGGGATGAAAAGCACGCAGGAGAGCAGCTCTGTCACTCCAGGCACTGAGGGTGGCCCAGGAGAGAAGGGCCTCAGGCCACCCAGGTGCAGCAGCCCCAGGACCTCTGCCTCATGGCCAGGGTCACATCTGGGCACTTCAGTGGTCAGCAGAGAGGGTGGCCAGCAGAGATAGGACCGAAGTCCAGGCAGTGGGAGGAGGACACTGGGCCTCCCAGGGGAGGACACGTCAGGACAGAGCTACCGAGACAGGAAGTCGGGGGCGAGGCTGAGCCTTTGGATCAAGCCAAAGAAAAGATCACTCAAGCAACTCCTGCCCCCCAGAATGCACACTGTGTTCAGACAGTGAGGGGCCTGGCCCCATAACCTGTCCCCGGACACAATGGTTCTGTCTGTCCACCTTAGGGCTCCCGGACCCAAGGCCCACACTTGGCTGTGCAGGAAGGGGCCAGAGCCCAGGGAGGGACCCCAGGGCCGAGACTAAGAGAGTCTGCCTGTGCCAAGTGCTTGTGGCTGGCACACACAGAGGCTTTGTAGGAGTGCGGGGAGGACCGGGAGGCTTGGGGCCCAAGTGGGGAGGCGAGGGGCTGTTCAGGAGCAGGGCGTCAGGGCCTGAGGGCCTGGAGAGACCTGAGCCTCCTGAATCCTCGGAGAGGTGGGGCAGCCCACCCCCACCATCGCCTTTATCCAGGACAGGAGGAAGGGGAGCCCAGGAAGTGGGGGGGCAGGGAGAGGGCTCTACCCTTCCTGGCTGAGCCTGACCTGGGTCCCTCATGGTGCCACGAGTGCCTGGAGCTTTCTCACACCACCTGGCCCTGTGCAGGACTGGTGGGGCGGGGGGGCGGGGGGGGCAGCAGGGTGGGCAGGAAGGATGGAAGTGGCTTGCCAGGTGGGGGAAAGGAACAGAGCAGGGACGGCAGAGGGAGCAGGGATGGATGAAGGGGCCAGCCACGAACAGCCTCCTCTCCCCGTCCCCATCCTCTTCGCTTCTTCTAAAAATGTGCCCGCAGCCGGCCTGCCCCCCTCTTTGAAGGGACAGATGTCAGGGAGAAAGCTGATTATCGTCAAAGGCTGGAGGCTGTGACCGGAGCTCTTGGGGAGCGTGACCCAATTCGGAGCTATTCTGAGCCTGGTGGGAGCTGAGTTATTCCCTCCCGCCAACGCGGCTGCTTCGGAGGCAGCCTGACTTTGAAATGCCCTCATCCTGAGGCCAGGCACAGAGCCATGCATGGGAGGGCGGGCCAGGCCAGGAGGGGCCCCGCTGTCCCAACCCTGGAGGCTGAGACCTCGCTGTGCCCCCTTGCCTGCGGTCCTGCAGCTCCTCCCCTAAAATCACAGGGTCTCTCTCTCAATGCGGACCTGAGATTAGGCCATGTGACCTAAGACTTGAAAAGCACTCGCCCCAAGTGCGCCTGAGCGCAGGACAGGATGCAAGAAGAGCACGGGTCCCAAGAGGAAGCGAGGAGCAGGGGCAGGGCTGAGCTTACATCAGCTCAGCCCCTACACAGGGACAGGCTTGGCTGAGGTCCACAGATCCCAAAGGCTGCTTTAAGCCCCAGAGTTTACTTTTTTGCTGGGGGTGTGTGTGATATTTGTTATGCAGCATAACTGTGATGACAGTTAACTAATACACTTACTTCAAAAATTGTGGAGGCCAGTTGAGTGCCATCTGCCTGTGCACAGGCCAGTGTTGTCACAGTTCATTATACAACCAATAAGCACACTGAATGGATGACCTGGATTTTCCAGAAAAGTCTCAATGTCAAATCTTCAGATAAACTATTCAAAGTGCCACAAAGTGCAGAGGACAGTTCTCAAGACAGACCCAGAAGTGGCCCCTCAATCCTGGCCTTGAAATCTGAAACAAAGACCAGAGGTCGTCGTGGTGGCAGCTCCCATCTCCCAATAGTGACAATAATCATTGGGACATTCCGTGGATACCAACTGTCTAAACAATGACGTGATACTTAATCTCACTGCAGCTCCCCCTGCCCCCCAAGGCAGGCACTGTGCTCATCCCTGCACGAGGGATTGACTTGTCACCATGGAGCCAGAGGGAAGATGTGACCCGGGTAGGCTCAGCACCTGGGCCCGTAAGTGAATCCTCCCTGAAGGCAGAGCGGGGTCTGGCCACCTCTCTGAGGATAGGCTGCCCTGCAGGACCGAGTCCAAATCCCTTGTCCCTCTGTGACTGCAGGGGCCTCCCAGTCTTGATCCCCACAGCACAGGGTCCAACCCGCTTTCCCTGCTTTGCTCTGGCCACGCACACCTCATCTTCCCTGTCCGCACCTGGCTCCCTCTGGGCCCTCAGTGCCACGAGGCTGCTGGTGGGTGCTTTTCCCACATTTGCTGGGTGAGGGCACCCCCTGAGGCTGGTGACGAGGCCATCCTGAGACCTGGACCCCACCTGCATGCTCCCTCCTGGGGCATCAGGAGCCAAGATCTCCAGGAGGGCTACCTTCTGGGAACCCTCTCACCTGAGGCCCTGATAGGAGGCAGGGACACCCCAGGCTGACCTGTCAGCCCAACAACCCCTGGGCAGAACAGGGCGCTGGGTCCAGTGACCGGCCGGTACTTAGAGCAGCCTTGCAAACAGGCCAGGCAGTTACCAGCCCAGGAGGAGGTGGAGATGGCGCCCTCTGCATCCAATCACACTCCAGAGCAGCTGCTCCTCACCTCATTCTCCCGGGCCTGCGGGAAGCTGTCCCGCCTGGGCAGGCCTCCTGCTCACTTCCTCCCACTTCCAGCAGGCTTTCCAGGCCCTGCAGGACTATCACCTCTTCCAAGGAGTCTTCCATGACTACAGCAGAAATCTCGCCCCTGTGCAGTGGGCTGGGGTAGGGTAGGAGCTGCATTGCCTACTGGGCCAGGCTGGAGAACAGGCATCCCCAGAGCACAGACAGAGAGAAGGGGGGGCAGGCAGCAGACAACAGGGGTGAGGGGCAGGCGTGGGGAAGCCCTGTCTTCATGGGGCAGACCACCCTCCTTGTCATACTCTGCTAGACAGGGTACAGCCTCTGGGGGCCTGGCATCCCTCACACCACCCACTACCCATCCCCAAACTGGCTCTGGGCCCCCAGCCCACACCACCCCCGGCTGGGGACAGGGTAGAGCCCCTCTGAGGCAGGTGAGCGTGAGGCCAGGAGCAGCACACACCAGGGCTGAGGAGGCCAGGCCCCGGGGGCTTCCAGGAGGAGGTGCTGAGAGGCAGGACTCTAATTCCAGCCCCAGGGCGGGATCCTGGCCTAGGGCCCTCAGAGCAGATGCTGAGAGGCCACCTGTCTCTAGGGCTTCGACTTGGGAGTAGGGGCCTTGGCGGAGGCAGTCAGATGTGCCAGGTACTCAGGCCAGGCCTGGTGTAGGAATTTCCAAGGAAAAACGGAAGGCCAGGGGTGCATGTCTGGGGCTGGACAGGGAGTTTCCGGGTGAGTCTCTGTCCTTGTGACCAGCCCCAAGCTACTGACTTGAGGAGGTGACTGTCACTGACCAGCTGATGGGCCACTCACTCACCATGGGTCCTGCCTTTGTGGGTATCAAGCTCTCCACCTGCAGAACTGGGGGACTGCTTGGCTTCTGCTCCTCTGCCTGCAGGGGCTCACAGGTGGGGGGCAGTCCTACAGGGGTGATCACCAGCATGGGATGTGTGGGAGCAGATGGTAAAGCAAGATGCTCCTGACTAGGGGCAGGTGGTGGGAGAAACTAAAACATTTGAGTGGGGCTTTGAAGGATGCACAGGAGTTCACTGCTGGCTCAGAGCCTGGCAGGACCCCAGGCTAAGGCTGAGCTGGGCCTGGCCAGCTATCTGGGGTGGGACAGATGCCCAGAGGCCTAGTGGAACCACAGGCTCACGCGCAGGGTTGGCAGCACAGCTGAGGGTGAGGGGGATGTCCATCCTTAAGAGTAGCTGGGTCTGTGCCAAGTGCAACTACAAGCAGGGACAGGGATCCAGGTCTCCTGACTCCTCACCTGGTAGCCCCCATTCCAGTCACCCATCCTCCAGTGGGCTGGGCTTTCCCACTGCCCTTCCAGCTCACACAGACCCAGTGACTCACCCAGGGCCATAGCCTAGGAGGCCAGCCTAAGCCCCACCTGGAAAATGGACACAGTGGGACCTGCGGGGCGGGACTGCACCCTACGCCAGACACCCCATGGGCCCTTCCTGAAGGCCAAGGAGAGTCCAGGCCCCTCCTCTGTCCCCCAGGCTAGACATTTCGTCAGAGGTCAGAACAGGTCCCTGCAGGTGACCCCTGGGGCAGGGCTGGTGGTTCCAGGGACCCTAGGGTCTCTGAGGGGATACAGGTCTTGCCCCGAGACAGGAGGCACCTCTGGTCCTGTGATGCTGCCACCAGTCTGGTCTCGCAGGTCCACGTTACATGGTGCCCCTCCAAGAACCCCCAACCAAGAACCCCCAAAGCCTGAGTGGTGGCCTTGGGCCAGGACAGCAGGGCTGGGCGGTCCTTCTTGGGTTCTGGGCCCTTTAGGGAGCACAAGAGGCAACCCAGGTGTCCAGACGGGGCTGTGGAGGGAGGGGCCCGGGCTCGGGGCGGACACAGACACACACACAGGCAGGGATTCTTTCTCCTTCCCCCGCCCCACCCTTCCCAGGGACAAGTGGCCCTTTCTGCAGCTGGGTGGGGGTGGCCACACACTCACCCCTTTGTCCGCCATGTCCCAGGCCATTGTCCTGGAGTCCACAGCCCCTGTGGCGTCTGCCTTGGGAAAGGAAGGAGCAGGGGCCAGGAGGGTCACGTGCGGGGAGGGCCAGCCTGGGCGTTGGTGTGGGGATTGGAGATCCAGCCTCATGGGGCACCAGGGGGACCAGTCAGCACAGTGGGGCAACAATGTTTATTTCTCTGCCAAGCATGGTCAGGGGCCAGCCTCATGCCAGCAGAGTGCCCTGGGGCTCCCGCCTGCCATGGGAACACCCAGGCCCTTTGTACAATGCCAGCCACACACCAGAGCTGGAGACCAGGCCAAGCCAGGCCAGGCCAGGCCAGGCCAGGCCACCTGTGTCCTGGATACACCCCCTCACCCCTGTGACCCCAGGGCCCCTGAGGGAGAAGCACGGAGTAACTCCAACAGGCACTGGCTGACGGCCCGCAGCACATCCCCATCCGGCTCAGCTCTTCTGAGTGATGCTGTGTGTTCTCACTTCCCCACACAGCTGGGGCCCTGGCTGGGCCAGGGTCCAAGAAGACACCTCCCAGGGGCAGGAGAAGCAAGGTGGGCAGGGCTTCTCCCTGCCCCTTTGACAGGAGGGAACTGGAGACACTCCCACATGGCCTGTGCAGTGCCTAATGGGGTGGGGTCAGGCCTGAGGCCACACAGCAGGGTCACCTCTCACTGGGTGCTGAGCCCGCCCAGGGAGGCACTGAGCCAGGCCACAGCCCTTGCCGGAGGATGTCCCTGGCCCCCCCCACCTAGTCTTTGCTCCCCCACCCCCTTCCCCACAAAGGGCCACCAGGAAAGGGTCAGGCTGGCTGCCACCTGCAGCCTCGGGCCTCAACGTCCGGAGGAGCCTAAGGCAGTGGAAACTGCCTGTGGCTACAAATAGCAGCAGGACACTGAGGCCAGTGGGAGGCTGCCCTCCCCAGGGACCAGGGACTGGATGCACCTCCACCAGGCAGTCCCCCTTCAGCCACCCAGGGGGCCCCCAAGCCCTGCCCCACCATCCATCTGTTTCTAAACACAGGCCCTGGCAGGCGCCCGCTGCCCATATAAGGCAGCCTCTGGCCGAGCCTTGCTTCCCGTCTGGCCTGCGGTGCTCCCAGCTCCCCGGAGCTCCTGGTGGCGGCTCACTAGCCCGGGGTCTTTGTGGCGAAAGTCAGGTAGCCCGTGTGGCCCACGGCCTCCTTCATGGGCGTGCCGCTGCGGAAGGGGCCGGCATCCACACCCGGGCTGGCCCCCAGGTCGGGCGCAGGCAGGCTGATGGTGCGCACGTTGTAGACCTGGGGCAGCACCTCCAGGGTGCTCAGCTCCGAGAAGCCACAGGCCGCCAGCGCCTGGCACGTGCGCTGCACCTGCTCGATGCATGGCGAGAAGGAGCAGAAGCGCCCACCTGAGAGGAGCAGGACGCGGCGGTCAGAGGGCTGGTGGCCGAAGGACCCCCAGAACCTGGCCTGCCCGGTGGCCCAGTGTCTGTGGGCTGGATGGCAGAGCAGAGGCAGTGCACCCCTGGCCTTTCAGGAATAGGTGCGGGTAGAGAAACCCCACGTGAGAGCCCTGGGGTCTGAGGCTGTCCAAGCCCTCGGGCCGTGAAGAGCTGAGGCCTCAGAGAAGGGCCAGGCAGGGCCCTGGGGCAGGAGCTCTCCCGGAGCCCCGTGGAAGGGGCCGCCTGAGCCAGGCCCTCTCACGTCCCAGCACTGGGCAAGCCCGACTAACCTGATCCCACTAGGCCCCTGGTGGGCGCCGCCACCCCATTTCCCCAAGGCAGCCAAGGGTTGGGGCCAGGGCGGAGCCTGGGCTTGGCAGCTGCCACAGCACTGGACCCAGAACAGCCCCAGTCAGACAGAGCAGCACCGGGCGGGGGCTGCTGCTGTCACAGGAAATTAGAGGCTGTCGCCCGCTCCTGGGAACAGGAGGCGCCTACTCCAAGCTGAGCCCCACAGCCCAAGGATGACGGGGTGGAGGCGGCAGCCGGCAGCCTCTTCCTGCGGCCGCTCACCAGGGCCCGCCCACAGCATCCCTCAGCCTGGCTCAGGTCCCCCTCCTGGCAGGGAGGGTGTGGGGAAGCCAGGGTGGGGGAAGGGATGTGGCCCAGGCAAGGACTGGAAGGCCCCTGAGGCCTGGTCAGCTCAGCCACTCCGGGACAGACCCCCAGCTGCTCTGCTGGGAGGCCTGGGCCTGGAGGTGGATCCTACAGCTGATGTCAACCCAGAGGACACAGTATCACCCCTAAGAAAGGACCCAACCCCCGTGCACACTGCTGAGGACACAGGCCCCGCTGGGCAGGATCCGAGCCTACTGGCTGGCTAGAGGTCCAGAGAGCCCGGGGACTGCACTTGCTGGGGTCAGGCTCACACAGCAGGACAGGGGAGCCCTGTAGCCCACAAGCAGGTTCAGGGAAAAGACCCAGAGAACGGGGCTTAGTGGGATGGAGGAGTCAGGACACCAGAAGGCATGACTGCCCCAGGCCAGCCTCCAGGAAGGAGTCTCAGCAGGAGGGAGGCCCAGGGCAGTGACTGACTGGGCTCAGCCAAGGCTGGGCCACCAGCTCTGGCCTCCTGGGCCTGGGCCTAGGCCTGCTGGTGTTCCTGCAGTGGGGAGGACCTGCAGGTATCCAGGGGCAAAGCTGGAGGGCTGCCCCTCTCCCCAGCCCCAGGTCCCCTCAGCAGAGATCAGGGACCCAGGAGTCCAGGGCAGGGGACCCACGGGCCACTGCCTTGCTGGGCCTCAGCATCTGCCCTTCAGAGGGGCAGTCCTTCCCAGGGCAGCCCTGCGCCTGCCTCCCCAACCTCCCGTGCTGTGCCACTCCACTGGGAGGAGCGAAGGGGCCTGGTTGCCTGAACAGGCTCCTTCTCCAGAAAAGGGAAAAACCCAGCGCCTCCCTGGCTCTGAGCCGACCTTCCCGCCTCCGCACCCAGCGTCTTCCCTAAAAGGGGCACGTTAGCCTGGCCTGCAGCTGGTGGGGAAGAGAGACTCTGCAGGGATCAGCCGGAGTCAGGGGCTGACCTCTGATCTCCAGCATGCCCTGTGGTGCAGGCCCCGCCTCTTACTCAGGCTGGGCTGCCACATTCCCCAGGGACCTCAGACATCTCCCACCTCAGGGTGAGAGCAGGGCCAGGCCAGGACCAGGGGCCCAGTTGGAGCCCCATTCTCCCCAGTTCTGATTTCTTCTCTAACCTTCACCCTTCACTGGGCGACCTCCCCACGACTCCCCCGGCTGCCCTGACCCACCCCTACCTCAGGCCAAACGGCGCCAGGGCCTGGCCACAGCCACAGCCACCGCCACCGTGTGGCCGGGTGGTTTCTGACCTCTGGGCTTTAAACAACCTAGAACTGGAGGAGTGGGGAGGGGAGAGAAGGGGTAGCCCAGGACTCGGCCCCCACCAGGGCCATACCCCTCCCAGAACCCCTGGCGCACCTTCGACCTTGAGGGCGTCCCAGGCATGGCCCACGGCCTCCCAAGGTGAGGGGATGTCCAGGAAGACGGCGTCTGCCACGTGGCTCACGCCGAAGCCACTGCGGCACACATCCTGGTTGCGCACGGTCACCCATCGGCCCACGCGGTGCTCCTGGAACTCCTCCCGCGCCTTCTCCGCCCGCTGCTGGTGGAACTCCACCGTGTGCAGGTGGCCCGTGGGCGCAATGGTGCGAATGATGGCGTGGGACACGGAGCCGCTGCCGGTACCTGGCAGGACAGGATGGGTGTCAGGCAGGACTGCTGGGGCCATCAAGGAAACTACCCTATCCTCACCCCAGAGAGACCCTCAAAGGGCCCTCGAGGTTAGCCGGCCCCAGGTTACCAGTGGGACAAAGAAGCTTGGAACTGTCCCTATCACCCTCCAAGTGGTGGCCAGGCCCCAGCTCCCTGATGGACTCAGGTCAGTCCATCTCCCAGTCCTGCAGTCTGCTCTCACCACACGAGTGCAGCTCTGCCCTCATCTTGCACTGTGATAGATGACATGGTGACCGAGGTGCCCCCCACATCGTCTCCCAGTTTGCCCCCAGCTTCACGGGCCACCCCTCTGCCTGCCTCCTTCTCCTGCCATGCCAGGCAGGCCTGTGTCCCCCCATTCAGCCCCCGTGACCCCTCTTTGCTTCATGGCTCCAGGTGCCAGGCTCGATGAAGACTCCCCAGCGACCACTGCATGCCTGCCACCCCCCCCCAAACACCCAAACAGCGCCCAGCATCTACAAGTGCAGAGCTGGAGCCGATCCGACCCTAACCCCCTCCTGCCAAGCCTCCCTGACCCAGTCAGTGACACCACTGCTCAGCCAGACACTCTGGGGGCCCCTTGCCTCCCCCTGCCCACCTCCCACACATCTGACCCACCAGCAAGTGCTGCACCTCTTCCCACGTCTCTCCAGGAGCCACTCCTTCTCCTCACCCGCCCCCACACCCACATGGGCGCCCCCTCCCGGCCCTCTGCCACAGCCCCTGACTGGCTGCCTACAGTCCTGTCTCGGCACAGCTGTGGAATTCTCTCCACCCGTAGCCAGACCACGCCTCTTTCCTTTCCACGCAGGGCAGAGTCAGACTCCTCGTGACCTTCCAGCTGCGCCCATTTCCCCCTGACCTCATTCCTGCTCCAGCCACCCTGGCCTCCTCGCTGGTCCCTCAAGCAGGGTTTCTGCAAGGCTCTCCTTTGGGGGGACCCTCCCCCTTGGCTCTTGGTAGGGACCTCCTTCCCATCATTTTCAACTCCATGCCCTCTCTTCAAAGAGGCCTTCCCTGGCCCCCTTGCTGGAGGGGCCCCTCTCTGAGTCACCCTCAAAGACAGAGCCCTGTCTTTCAAGCCCCCAGCAATCAACAACACTGGAACGGTCCCACTGGGCTTCCTGTCTGTCCCCTTTTAGGAGAAGAAGCCTGGCCTGTCTTGTCCTGGTTCTGCCCAAGGTGCCTAGCAGGGGAGCCCAGAAGCATGCTCACTGCCAAAGCTTTTTGGCCAAATGGAACGAGGCCCTGGCTACGGATGCACAGTGGCCACAGGAGATGAGCTGGCCCTGAATCCTGCTGTCCACCCCCAGGTCCCCTGGTGCTGAGCAGTCAGCCTCTGACGAGCCCCCACCCACTCTCTCCAGGAGCCACTCTCTCCACAGCCCAGGTTCTGCATCTGACTCTTCCCATCCTGAAGTGCTTGGCGGGGTAACGTGAACCACTCAATTGTCCACCCGGAGAAACTGAGGCCCAGAGAGGGATGAGATGCCCTGAAGCCCTCTGAAAGTTGGCAGCAGTGCGGTTGGGAACTCTTGGAGCCCAGAAGCCCAGCTCAGGAGGAACACGCTGGAAATCTGTGCACATCTGGGCTTAAACTGTTGTTAGCTAGGCTGCATGCTTCAACCCCCAACACCTGTGTGTATGTGTGTGTGCATGTGAGTGTGCGTGTGTGTGAAAGGGCTGGGAATGGCTGACCTTCAGGCACTTCCATCTGCACCACAGGCCTTGGGCTCAGTGACAATGGTGCTGGCCTGGGTTGAGCACGGGGCAGGCTCCTCACCATCAATGAAGCACCTGGGAGCGGCCCTGGCCTCCATCCAGGAAGGGGCAACTCTTAGCCCTGGGCCTGGGGCTCCCATTCTCAGCAGTCAGGGACCGCTGGGCGACTCACCCTCCACCAGAAGTCAGTACCGGGTTCGGGACTGGCAGTCAGCACCTTGGTCAGCGCTGAGCAGCACTTGCCCCCACCCACCAAGACAGGTAGGACCTCCGTGGGTACCAGCTCCTCCAGAGGGCTATCCTTGGTCCAGTCCCAACTCTCACTCAGAGTACAGTACCAGCCTCCTTGCTTCTGCCCTCCTTCCCCACAATCAGTCCCCCAGAAAGATCCTGTTAAAATAGAAGCTGAATAGTCATGCCTGTGCTCAGGAAGGGCAGGCTGGGGGCTGTCTGGACACTGGGTCTGACTTCCACCTTCATGTCAATTTCTCAGAGTTAGAGGTGAGGCAGTCTGAAGAACTCACCAGACTCACAGACCACAGAGCCAGGCCGAAGCTCCAGCATCATGGTGAGCAGGGCAATGTCAGTGGAGTAGAGGATCTGGGTGCGGTGTGGCAGGTTCAGCGTCCAGAGCTCAGGGGTGGGGTGCAGCACATACACCCAGCCACCTCGGCCACAAGTCACCTTGGAGCCGAAGGGGCGGCCAATGAGGTCTACGGAGTGCCGCAGGACGCCGTGCCGGGTCTGTGTCTGTGCGCCACGCTGCACACGCACCGCCATCATTGCACCATGGCCCAGTGACAGGATGGCTGTGTCACCCTCTTTGATCAGCTCCTCGTATGCCACGAAGCTCATGGTGTTGCTGTCTGGCAGGTGCCAGGGACCTGGGAGGTGTGTGGACATGAACATATAAGGCGCCAGGAGGCAGGATGTGCACCTGGGGTCCAGGCAGAAGGCTGTGAGGCCCAGATCCTGAGCAGTGGGGGTTGAGCCCAACAGGTCTGCACCCTGCCCAGACATCTGAAGCCCTTCTTGGTCTGATCTGGTCATGAGACAAAGGCCATCATCCCAAATCACAGATGGAGTCTGAGGCTGGGCAACGGCAGAGGAGGGGCTCAAGGACTCCCACAAAGTAAGAGCCTGACCCTCTCGTCACCCTTCTCCAGGAACCTGGCTCCCATTCTCCAGCTGTGAGAAGGGAGAGCGACCACCTAGTGGGGAGCAGCAAACGGTTCGTGAAGTCACCCCCAAGCCAGGCTCAATTCCACAGAATCCTGTCTCCCCCATCTCTCCCACCGCGGGCTCCTGGGCAGACAAGTGGAAGGGGGATTCAAGAGATGTAACCGCTCCCAAGCAGAGGTTGGGGACGTGCTGCGAGCAGTAAACAGAGACACTGGCCTGGCCTGTGCAGAGTCAGGGGGCAGGTCAGGCCAGGCTGGCACCGGGCTGAGGGCGACCACGGGAGGCTGCAGGAAGTGCAGGGCCCGCTAGAGGAGGCCTGAGCGCAGCGCCCGCGGGGGCGACCTCCCCCCTCGCACTGCCACCGTGACCCCGCGGAACCTCACCGGGTCTCACCGGTGACGCTCGCCGGGCTCCCACTCCGGGTGGCTCCGCACGTGGCTCCGGGCACCAGCTACAGCGCTTCCGGCTCCGGGCGGCTCGCGGCGCCCGCCGATGACGTCACGACGCGCCGTTCCCACCCCGCGCGCGGACTCCTGGGACTCGCCCGCTACCCATCCCGCCCTCGGAGCAGGCCTCCGGGTCGCGCCTCCAGCTCGGCTTTCCCCGGAAGCGAGTTCTCCAGTTTAAACAGTTCGTGCAAAAGACAAACTGAGAGTCCCGCTGTCCCGCCGCCCAGCTGCTGCGGTCCTTTCAGACATTACCTACGGGCACGATTAATGAGTGCTGGGACCAGGGCAGGCCGCGTCCCTCAGCCTTTTGACCGTCCTGGGGTCCCCGGAACGGCCGCCCGCGGCTAGCTGCCCACTCTCCTACGAGGACACTGCCGTGGACATTCTGTCACTGCAAACCGCTCAAGGAGCACCTCCGACTGGGCCCTCGGATGAATTCCAGGAAATGGAATAAGAGCGGAGGACCGTCCCAAAAGGCTTTGTCTGGGGTCAGCCAGAGGAGCAGGAGGTGGTGGTCTGCAAGGGTCTGTAGAAGTGGCCTTACGCCCAGGCCGTGCTTCTTCTTGGCCTACCTCCCCTTCAGGGGCACATTCCCCGTTGAGACAGCTGCTTCAAGGAAGGAGGTGTCCTGTGTCCCCTCCTGGAACCCAGGGTGCAGGGAGAGCTGGATGAATGAGGCTTACAGGGCCAGCGGCCTGAGCAGGGGACGGGGGTGGGGGCATCTGGAGGACTGGGGCAGAAAAGGGAAGCAGCAGCCCTGCATCGTCCCAGCAGGGCTGATTCAGAGTTGGTTCCTCTGTGGAGGTGGGGGATGGTAAAGGGTGAGTGGGGAGAGGGGACCATAGGGACTGTCCTCCTCCAGCACTCAGGCCCCTGCGGACCAGGGCTTATCCCGTTAGCCCTGGGGACTGGAGAGCTGGATCAAGACTCCAGCCCACCCAGCTACCCTGGGGCCTGAGCTCTAACCCAGGCTCAGTGGGCAATGACCCTTGTCCACACTGCCTAGGCCCAGGCAGCCCGTCCCAGACAAATGGGAGTGGCCAGAACCAGCCCCTTCTCAGAGCCCTGCCAGCCTGGGGGGCTTTCTGAACTCTCCCTCTTCTGGGGCCAGAACTGGTGACGGTGACTGTGGACCTCAGAGTCAATGTTGGAAACCCAGGTGCCCAACCTCAGTCCCTTCATACCCCTGCCCCTACTGGGCCTGGGTTTTGGAGCCATAGGGGAAGAAGGAGGGGGGCCTTTGGTGACGTCCCATTCTCTGTGGGTTCATATCCCTTTGGGGCCAGTGCTCTGGCCACCAGCTGCCTGAGTGGCTGCATCATGGCCCCCTTGCCTCCTGCTCTCAACACTGCTCGCCACCTCTGTTCCAGGTGACTTTACACCCGTCTGAATCACCCCCTAATTGCTCCCTGGGGAGATCTCAACTTTCCACTTCTCATAGGGGTTCCTCTTCCACAGCTTGTGATGTGGAGCCAGGGCTGACAGCCTACTCAGAGCCTAAATTAGGACTCGGTGACTTGGTGGTGGTTTCCTGTGGTCCCAACTTCCCACTTGCCTCTGTCTATGACTGGCCGTCCAGCTCCTCCAGTGCATCTCTCCTCTAGGCAGCCTATCCAGAGCTGTCCATCCGCCCCATCTGAGCCTGCCCCAGCCCTCAGCCTGAGTCCTCAAGCACCAACTGATTACCCAGGTCAGGTGGGCACCTTGCCCAGGGCAGAGCTTGTGTATTGGAGCCTCCCTGACAAGAACTGATGCTGTATAAGCCCAGTTAAGTGTCATCACATTGAATCCTCCCCACAGTCCTATGAAAGAGGGACCACGTTATAGATGGGGAAACTGAGACCCAGGGAGGCCAAGTGACTTGTGTAAAATCACACAGCCAATGTGGCCAAAGTGGGATGGGGATTTAATGCAGTAAACTTGGCTTCAGAGAACCAATGGCAGATTTGAAGAAAGGTGGGAACAGGCAGGCAGAAGGCCCTGGAGGAAAGGAAGAGATGGGATGCCCACTGGGGGAGGCTGCTCTGCCCTCCTTCCAGGCAGGATCAGGTGACCCAAGGTTCCCTCCTCTCTGACCAGCTCAGCCTCCTGCCCTACATGCTCTGTGACCACAAGGCAGCCCCTGCCCCCTTTCTGACCCCAACCAACTTCCCCATTGAGTTCTGCAGAGCTCAGGGACAGAGCAGCAGGAGGTGGCAATGCCCACCCTGGCATAGACTCTGAGGATGGCCTTGGGTCCCCTGCTTGGACCCTGGCCCTGCCCTCCCACCTGACACACCTCCAGCTGCCCAGCTCTATGCCTGCCCTGCTGAGCCGGGCCACATTCTGTGGATGAAAGGCCAGGGACTCCTTTGAGGCTCCCCACCCCCTCCAGGGCCAGGCGGTTAATGTGTAACCAGGTGTGATTTCTGAGGAATCTGGACCATAAACTGGCCGGGTGATGTCACCCAGCTTCTTGCCCAGACGCTGCCAAACCGGCTTGTGTGGGCCCTGGGGAGAGTGAAGGGTCCACAGATGCGGGCTTGGTTAGCTGGGGGCAGTGTTATGGCTGAGGTGGAGGCTGGTACCCTCCATGCCCCACTCCTTGCTCCCCTGCTCTGGGACCACCCTAGCTCCCAAGCAGCCCCTGCCTGGTGGCAGGTAGCTCACTCTGCATTTGGGGTGAAAGGGCCCCCCATCCCAGCTGCTGACCATCCACACTCTCAGTCTGAGTTTGGCCCAGGCTTGGCTTGTGGGGGTCCCCACGGTGGGCCCCAGGTTAGGTTAGCCCAAGGCCAGGCACTCCAGGGTTGCTGACGGATGCCAGAACTCCAACCTGGCCCCTCTGTCACGCACATTCTGATCTTCCTTTGAGCATCTGCAAAACTAGAATAAAACACCCATCTCAGAAGGCTGAGGATTGCTGGAACTGAAGGTAGGAGAATCCTCAGGGCCTGACCCTAGGCAAGACCCCAAGCATCTGGACCTCACATCTCCAGTGTGGACTTTGCTTATGCAGGGAGAGGGGAACGGGGGTCCTTCCCTGCCTCTATCCCACAACGTTGGTCAGGCTCTTGGTGGCCTGAGGGTTGGGGGAAGAGGGAGGGTGGCTTTCCCAGAAGCTGCAGAGGCTACAGACAAAGAAGCCCTGAGCTGCCCCTCTCCAGCTCCCTCCCGCCTGGGGTCTGAAAGCCAAGTAGGCCTCCAAGGCCAGCAGTTCTGTTTCTAGAAACAGAAACTTGAGCCCATCAGGCCTTTGGGGGTGGGGAGTTGGGGAGGGCAGCTGCAGATATTTCTAAAATTAGGGGAAGGGGCTGCAAAGGGCACAGAATGCAGGCATTCCAGGCTTAAGGGACAGCTGCTGTCTTCTGGGGCCATTTGCCTTTTTACCTCGGTTTATTTTATGGGTCTAAAATAATGCTGACTGGGAGCAGGTCAAAGCACGCCAAGGTGAGTGAGGGAAGGGCAGGAGTCCCTCCGTGGTAACCACAGGGACAGCGCACGGAGGCAAACAGACTTGCTCATCCTTTGGGGCTTTGCTCCCATTCCTCAGAGGCACCAAATACACTGGAATTCCTGCTTTCCCCCTGACCCCATGGCATCTCTCTCCTCCCATCTCCTGATAACATTTGTTCTCTTGGCTGCTGGCTCTCAGCCAGTCTTCCTCCAGCAGCAGCAATGTTCACCTTGATGCCTGCGGAGCTCACTGTGCAGTCCTGGAGGGACTTTGTTAAATGTACACATACATAAGGGCCTCCTCCCTTTCTTGATTCATTCACAAAGCAACATAAGATGGACATTAACCACACACGCGCCAATTCATGCTTTTTAATAGCTACATAACATTCCACACTGGGGAGATGCCTTCCCTACCTCCCGACCAGTCTCCAAGCTATAGCATTAAGTTATATCCAGGTTTTGTTTGTGTTTGTTTCTCCCAGTACACATCTCTTGGTCTGTCTGCAAAGAGAAATGAGTCTGTTCTTTCTATAGGCTGGATTCCTAGAACTGGGATGGCTGGGTCATGGAGGATGAATGTTACTGAACAGAAGTTCGTATGCCCAACGCACAGTGAGGCCAAATAAACTGAAATGTTGGAGTTTGGAGCAGAGAAAGGTTTACTGCAGGGCCAGGCAAGGAGAATGGATGGCAATGGTTTTCTGCGAGAAGTTTTTAAACGCAAAATTCAGGTGAGGGCTGCTGGGTGTGTGACTTTCTTCTGTTTGTCTGGTGGGGAGGTAACAGGGCTGTGCGCCAGGAATCTTGGGTTTGGTCTGAAGTTACCATCCTCCACCTGGGTGAGGGCCTTAGTTTCCAAAGAACTCAAAGATATTGTATACGCCTGGAGGAGGAACCAAGACCCTGCCCCAAGACTGCACTATTGCTTCTTGACTGCCCTCCTTTGTTTCGGTATCCCCTCCCTTCCCTGAAAAGCAACTCTTTAAATCTGCCCTTTGGAACTCAGAGAAGGTCAGGGAGGCTGAATGAAGCCTACAAACAAGAAACAGGGACATGGAAAAGATTTTGCACCAGGGAGGACCCCACAAGGTCCTGCTCTGTTTCATGAACATTTGCAATTTTTACATGCTGCCAAATTACTTTTCAAAAAGGATGTAGCAATTCACAGTTGCCGGCAGCGAGTGAATGCCTGTCTCTCCACATTCCAACCCATGGCCAACACTCGCTGGTATCAGTCTTACATTGTTGCCAGTCTGGGTGTGTTGGGGGTAGTGGAAGGTATAGCCATTGTTGTTTTAACTAGTGTGATTCTGATTTTTAGTGTTTTTGTTTGTTTCGTTGGTTGGCTTTTTAAAATCTCACATGTACTTATTGTTAGCATTTCCTCTCGTCTCTGCCGAGTGTCTCTGAGGTGCCTTTGCGGGAGGGGTGGAGAGGTGAACCTGCCCCCTGCAGAGAGGGCCCAGATCTAGGGTCTGGTCACTGAGTCTGTGCACTGTCCAGAGGCCTCTCAGGGCCTCTCATAGTAGTCCCGCATCAACTAGGAGGGCTCTCTGGCTCGGGTCCCCCAAAGGCCCGGGACTTGCCCAAGGTCAAGGCGCCGCGGGCGCCGCCATGGGGGCAGCAGCCAGACTGCGCCTCTCGCGTGCCTCCTTTTCTCTGCACCAAGATCGTCTGGGAGATGCCTGAGGGCACCTTGAGGAAGGTCGACGGCTCTGGGCCAGCTCGGGCTGGGCAGGAGAAGTGGGGGTGGAGGGGTGGCGGTTGGCACTACCGGCTGTGGAAGCCCGGGACGCTCTCGCCTGGCCCCTCGCCGCGACTACCGCGGGGAACTGGCCCGACGACGGAAGGCAGGAACTGGGGTGCAGACAAACCCGAGCGTCCTGAAGTGCCCAGTGGCTCTCGCGCCTCAGTTTCCCGCTCGGAGGCAGGCCGCGGGAGACGAATCCAGAATGTCCAAGGGCCTGAGGTTTCAGCTCCGGGGCCCTGCGTGGGCACCGATGGAGTAGGCGGGCTGCGCGGGGTCCCGGCGAGGAGACAATCGGGGTGGGCAGCCT